AATTTCTTCTGGAACCCTTGTTGCTTATTTACTATTCATTCTTAATAGAAAATGCCTTCATTTTCAGCAATATAATAATAACGAAATGCCTATTCGTCATGCAGCTAATGGGGAAGATGTTATTCGTGCAAGTCGAGCTACTACAGTTGCAGCAGAGAAAGCTGCCGGTTCTGCCTCACTTTTGCACCAAGAAAATGTTATAGCAGGTTTTTTAAAATTAAAAAACTTTTTCTTACTTTAAATTTAGCGGCAAATTTGGCCAGACAATCAGTTGGAGATTTACTTGGAACAGTTCGAACAGCTTCATTAAATGCTACTAACCCTGATTTAAAATATAAAATGCTAAATTCTGGCCGAGAAGTAGCTCTTCAACTAAAGAATTTGTTAGTCAATATTTTACAACTTTATTCACGTCCTGACCATCCAGCAACGAAACAGGCTGTTTTGACTGCTGCTAAAGAAATTTCTAAAGTATTTTCTTGTTTTTAGTTGAAAAAATTTTTTTCAAAAATTTTTTAGTTAGTCGGACAATTGTCTTATTGTGGCGAACAGTTACATTCTTCAAGTCCGAATCCAGAAGAAAAACCTCTACTTTTGGCAGAGAATGAATTGTTAGGTGCTGCTAGTTCAATAGAAGCGGCGTCTAACAAACTTTCACAGATGCGACCACGTCAAGTTCATGTAAAAAAAATTTTTTTCTTTTAAATTACATAAAATTATTCTACAAAATTCTGCTACATATTTATTATTTTCTTCTATAATTTATTTAACAACAAAAAAATTTTCTTCAAAAAAATTTGGACGGGATCAGCTCTGATATGTCTTGTATTCTTGGGTCTGCGTTTAACGCTAAAAAATTTAAATATTTGAAGAGGAACCCATTATGCATGGCATATCCGACTGGTTACTTGTCCTTGAAATTTGCAACAATTTATTTTTATATTTAATTTTATGGATACACCCTAACGTACCGCGAGGCCAACGTACCGCAAAGTACCGCAGAGCTATAACTTCGTTCAAAATGGTCGAATCCGGGACGCACTGATATGGTGCGATTCAGCTCGCCGAGATCCATCGAACCATACCACGGCGTCCCTGATTCGGGCTGTAGTGTAGTGTACCGGTGGTAAAAGTTCGGAACGTGACATATGTCATTCGATTCGTCTCGACGAGCTGAGTCGAACGGTACTACTCCCTACTTTAGGAAATGATTCTGGACCGAGTTATGGGTCCCGAAAAATTGAAAAACCAAAGGGGGGAGTAAGCTCGATTTTGGGGTGAAAAATTCGAATATGCAAATAATAGCTCATTCGAAAGAGCTCGGCGAGCTGAGTCGAATGACACCAAAATCAACGAAATCTGACTTGATTTGACAAAGTTATGACCGTTTGTTTTAGCTCCTTACCTATGGCGCCCGTGGAGGTTTTTGCTGCTACTGGAGCCCCAAATACATCCAGAGCAAGGGAGATGGGACTAGGTTTATGTTACTGACCCAGACCCAGCGCCCGTAGACTCCCCGCGAGGCGCGTGCCGCAAAACCCCGCGCGAAGCGCGGGGTTTTGCACAAGCGCCTCGCCGACGCCCCATAGGTTTATGTTGTTTGTTTTTCAATTGTAACTTTGTCCAAACTTTTACAATCAAGCTGATTTTGGTGTCTTTCGACTCAGCTCGACAAGCTCTTTCGAATGAGCTATTATATGCTTTTTCGAATTTTTGGCCCTAAAATTCGCCCTATGGTTTTTGACCATTTTGAGCCCTTTATCTCGACTCCAACTTGTTCAATCAAGCTGATTTTGGTGTCGTTCGACTCAGCTCGACGAGCTCTTTCGAATGAGCTATTATTTGCATATTCGAATTTTTCACCCCAAAAAAGTGCTTGGTCCCCCCTATGGTTTTTCAATTTTTCGGGACCTATAACTCGGCCCAGAATCATTTCCTAAAATTAAGAGTGGTACCGTTCGACTCAGCTCGTCGAGACGAATCGAATGACATATGTCACGTCCCGAACTTTTACCACCGGTACACTACACTATATCCCTGATTCGACCATTTTGAACGAAGTCATAGCTCTGCGCTACGTTGGGCACGCGATACGTTGGCCTGCATCCTAATTTCATCCATTAAAAATTTATTTTTCTCTTTAAATAAAAAATCTTTTTTTTTCAGAAAGCCGATGAAGATCTAAAAAATTTACCTTTTGACGAACAAATACTTTCGGCTGCGAAATCGATAACAACAGCTGTACAAATATTAGTTAAGGTATGATAATTATTTTTTAAGCAAAAATAATACAAGAAAATTTTTTAAGGCAGCCTATAATGCCCAAAGAGAACTTATTTCTCAAGGACGGATGTCAGAACCAAGTGCAGTTTTGACTAAAGATGAGCAATATTGGACTGAAGGTTGTTGTTTCTGATGAATAATAAATATATTTTATAATTTTTAGGACTTGTTTCAGCAGCTACGCTTGTTGCTGCAGCAACTAGTAAGTTTTATACGAAGGGAATATAAGGAAAGATCCTTTTTGTGTGGATGAACCTGACCATTTGGAAATTCTTTTTTAAAGATAGAATAATATAAAAAATACTAGAAAAATTTAAGGCAGTTATAAATTAGATACGATGAAAATATAAGGGAAAATCCTTGTAAGGATGAACCTGACCTTTTGGAATCGAAAAAGGATTTAAATTTAAAAAATAAAGGCTAGAAATAATCTTTGGATTAAAAATACCTATCAGTTCGGAATCGGGTTTGAAATTTCTCTCGGATGTTTTTCTCGGGGTTATCTGGGGTCTTTCCTTTTCATTTTCCAAAAGGAAGGGGAATACCTTTTTTAATGTTCTTTTAAAAATTTATCTAATCATTCTTTATAAATCAGATCAATTATGTGAAGCAGCCAACGGTGTTGTTCAAGGACACTTTACTGAAGAAAAATTGATAGCTGCTGCAAAACAAGTAGTTTTTCCCCTAAATATTTCCAAAATCAACCCTATATTAAAGGTTGCTTCATCCACCGCTCATCTTTTAGTAGCATGTAAAGTAAAATCTGATATAGGTAGTTCTGCTATGCAACGTCTCCAAAGTGCCGGACATGCTGTAAAAGTGGCAACTGAACATTTGGTAAACGCAGCTAGACAAGCAAATACAGAAAATGATTGTCGTGGATTGGTGATTTCTGATAGTAAGGAGAAAAAAATTTTTTTTGAAAATTTTTCTAAAAAAATATTTCAACAAAAGGAATGGTAACGGGTATTGCCCAAGTAATGGATGCACAAGAAGAAGTGCTTCGAAAAGAAAAAGAATTAATAGAAGCTCGAAATCGTCTAACAAAACTAAATAAATCTCGTTATGAAAAATCGCCTGAACCATCACCAGAAAAATAATTAAAAAAAATTAATTTAATACTAAATTAGAGAGCGAGCTGGATCTGTATGTAGACCTTGATTTTTCCTGGATCCACAAGTCCAGATCAAGGCATTTTTCAGAATTCCTTGATCTTTCCTTGATTCAAGGTCAAGAATCTGGTCAAGGTACCCAACCGAAATAAAGGTCAAGGTTTTTTCAAAGTCTCGCTCTCTAGTACTAATATTTATTTTCTACAACAAACAACGACGACCTTTTTAAACTTTTGCTTTATATACTTGCTCTTCAAAAAAATTTTTTTCTTTCATCATATCCTTGTATTATCCTTTATATTTTCCTTCATATCCTTTTTTGTATTTTTTCAAGATTCGTCCATCTTCTTATCATTTTTTCTAAAGATGCCTTAATATTTAAAACTTAAATATATCTTAAATCTAATTTACATATGAAATCTTATTTTTTCTATTCAATTTAAATTGTAAACCTTTTCTCTCTTAATTATATCCACGTTATAATATTTTGCCATAAATAATTAACTAATAAATTAAATATCTAATTTAATTAACTTTTAAAATGTGCACTATACAAAGCCCCAACTTTTAATAATTTTTCTAAATTTTAACAAATATCCTCAGAAGAACATTGAAAATTTTAGAGAGTTTAAAAATTGTTTATAGCAGCCCCAATTCAGTGATTAATTTGTAAAATTTTCTAAAGAGGATATTTGTTGACTAAAATATTATATCAAATATTTTTCTTCTCCCCCATTCATTAATGTATTTTTCTTTTTTCACCGATCACTTTTCACTCATATCATTCAATATTTGTTTTTATTTCTGCCAATATTTAAATGGTGCAACTAAAATAAAAAAAGCGCTTTGGTTTAAAAATAATTTTGAATTTTTAAAATGAATTTTGCATTAATTCATGGTTATTGTCTTAAAAAAACACTATGAGGTGTAGCTGTCCAAAATTCGAAGTCTCAAGATTTGTGTATCTTCTTTGTATTTTCCCGAGTTTGCATAACAAAATTTTGAGACCACCTATATTGACGTTGTATCACGAAATTTGAAATAAATCCGACTATTCCAAATGGAGTTTAGTTAAAAAATAGGGTAAACGTAAGTTTAGTAACGCGCTGTATAATATTGCTGATTTAGCGCTTTGGCAAGGTCAGGCATGAAGCTAATAAAATTGTGGATTGTTTGGAATTAGGATTTTATTTTTTTATAAATCGAGGTTCAATTCTAACAAGAAAAGTCGTACCCTCTGGGTAGTTGCACGTTTATCCCACCAATGCACGAACAAAATCTTTGGAGGGATACTAGGGAGAGATAAAATTTAAAAAACCTTTAAAATTTCAAACACTGTTCTCGAGTCTTTCTTTTACTCTTGAGATTTCGAAAAATTTTGGACAGCCTCTCTATATAACTATTTAGCAATTAATAATTTTAAATGTTTACTTGTCCTTTATTTTTTTATTATTTAAATTATTTTATCAGTTTTTTTAAAACGTGGAATTTTTAAAAGTTTATTTGTCAAAATAAAAATTGTTTTTAGTAGAAAAATAGCCCCAGTTTTCTCCATTTATTAAATGAATGGTTGGATATTTGATAGGCTTTTATTTTTGGTTGTTTATGAATAATTCATATAAAGTAAATTTATTTTTCTAGTTCAGAATGAAAACGATCGGTTTATAAAATTTAGTAAACTTAGTCAATTATGTACTAGAAGACTAAAAAATATATTGAAAGACAGCAAAAAAATATTTTCGATTATTCCGTTATTTTTTAAAAAATGTCTCCAGACGAAAGGGCGAGTTTTAATTTTTCTTCAAATTTTTATTTTAAAAATTAATTTAAGGAAAGCATTGGAGAGATAAAAAGAATAACTTGTATAGGTGCTGGTTATGTTGGTGGACCTACCAGTGCTATGGTTTTGGGTTATTTTGAATATTAAAAAATCATTTAATGACAGATAGCCTTTAAATGCTCTGATATAACAGTTACTGTAGTTGATATGAATCAAGAGAAAATAGATCAGTGGAATTCTGATAATTTACCGATATATGAGGTAGAAGAATATTCAGTTGGCCCTTATTATGAGATGCACCTCTATTTAAGATAGCTTTAAACCTCATTATAAGATGCCCTATATAATAGAACACCTTGTGGTTGGCCATTTGTGGGGGGGGGGCTGACTAAGCGATACCCTCTATTTAAGATACCCCTCATTATAAGAGACATTTTTCAGCCGCAGGGAGGTATCTTATAATGAGGTTCAAAAAATTTTTTTAGCCAGGTCTAGACGAATTAATAAACACTTGTCGAGGCCGAAATTTATTCTTTTCCAACGACATCCCCGCTGCCATTCAAAGCGCGCAACTTATTTTTATTTCTGTCAACACTCCAACAAAGACTTATGGGAGAGGAAAAGTGTGTTGTTAATTGAAAAATTTATTTTAAATTATTTCTTAAAAGGGAATGGCTCCTGATCTTTGTTATATGGAATCTGTTTCAAGAACAATTGCAGAGCATGCAAACGGCCCGAAAATAGTGGTTGAAAAGTCTACTGTTCCCGTTAAAGCTGCTGAAAGTATTCGATATATTTTACGGGAAGCAGAAAAATTAGACACCAAACGTCTTTCCTTTCAAGTAATTACAGTTGAACCTCATAAAATACCTCCAATACTATATACACCTTTATTTAAGAGACCTCTATTTAAGATACATTCATTATAAGAGACTTTTTTAGCCCCAGGGAGGTCTAAAAATGAGGTTCGATTGTATACTATATTGTTAAATATTATAAATTTATTTAAAAAAGGTTCTTTCTAACCCTGAATTCCTCGCTGAAGGAACTGCAATGCAAGACTTGGCTAACCCTGACAGGTTACCTTTATTAATATTTTAATTAAAAGCTTGCAGAGTGCTTATTGGTGGAGAACAGACCCCTGAAGGTCATGCAGCCATCTCTCAACTTGCAAGTATTTATGAGCGTTGGGTACCCCGTGAACGTGTAATTACAATGAATACTTGGTCGTCAGAGCTTTCCAAATTGGTACAAAAGAATTTTTAGTTTAATACAGACAGACCTTACTAAGATACCCCCTTGGGTAATACAGACAGACCTTACTAAGATACCCCCTTGGGGTATTTTAACGGATGTGTTTGTTAAATAGATTGTATCGCTTGGAAGCTCCTCCGCTTAATGACCAGTTTGAAAACGTATCCTAAACTGTGTTCTAATATGGGGAGTATATTATATATAGAGGGTACCTTATAATGAGATGTATGTTAAATAGAGAGGTTCGCTTAGACAGTTTCCCCCGCTCTGTTGGTCAACCGAATTTTAGAAAAGGTATCTCAAATAGAGGTTGTCTAGTATTGAGCGTATCTTATATAAGGTTGACTGTAGATAAAAAAATATTCAAGGCTTCAAACGCCTTCCTGGCTCAACGCATTTCAAGCATAAATTCTATCTCAGCAATTTGTGAGGCAACTGGTGCTGATATAGGTGAAGTAGCCAATGCCGTAGGAAAAGATCAACGAATTGGGGATCGTTTTTTAAATGCAAGTGTTGGTTTTGGTGGAAGTTGTTTTCAAAAGGATGTTTTGTCGTTAGTGTATCTTTGTGAAGTTCTCCATTTGAAACAAGTTGCTGATTATTGGATGAATGTAAAATAATTTTATTGACCTTCGGCGTGGCGTAATGGTTAACGTCCCCGGCTTGCGGTTGGAGGGGGCAAGGTTCGATGCCTGAGCAGTCCTATTATTTTTTAAAAAGCTTAGAAGCCTTTGTAGTTGATTTACTTTCCCCAAAAAAATTTTTTTAATAATTTTTTAAAGGTAATTGATATGAATGAATGGCAAAGACGTCGTTTTTCTGATAAAATAATTGCAGAATTATTTAATACAATTACTGACAAGAAAATTGCAATTTTTGGTTTTGCTTTTAAAAAGAATACTGGAGATACCAGGCAAATTTTTGAAAAAATTTTTTGATTGGAAAAATTTTTAGAGGGTCCCCAGCAATTTATGTAACAAAACATTTAATTGACGAACATGCCCAACTTTTTATATATGACCCAAAAGTAAAAGAAACCCAAATACGTGCAGATTTGGAAAAATTATCTGACAAACAAACAGGTGATTTTCAAAAGAATTTTTTAATTTAAAAATCTTTAAAGTTGATAAATTAATTACAATTTGTAATTGCCCTTATAAAGCAGCAGAAAAGGCACATGCAATTGTTATTTTAACAGAATGGGATGAATTTAAGGTAAATACATAAAAATGATGAATCGACCACACTATAAGCTACATCCTTAAGGGTAAAAATAATAGTACCTGAGGTTTATCTTAAATTGAGGGTATCTTAAAAGGAGGGTATCTTCAATGGAAGGTATCTTAAATTGAGTGGTATCTTAAAAGGAGGGTATCTTGAATCGAGGGTATTTTAAATTGAGGGTATCTTAAATCGAGGGTATCCTAAAAGGAGGGTAATCGCTTGGGCAGCTCCCCTACCCAACGGCTAACCTTTTAAAAAAACGTCTATTATACTGAGACGCATCTAATATGTATGTATTGGGTGCATCTTGTAGTGAGATTCGAATTTCTAATTTTAAAATCTTTTTTAAGGAGCTCGATTACAAAGAATTATTTTCTTTAATGAAAAAGCCGGCATGTCTTTTCGATGGAAGACGTATTGTAGACCAAGAGAAGCTTCGAAAAATAGGGTTTCGTGTGTTTGTTGTTGGCTCTGCTTCTAACCAAGCTCTCAACTTTTTTCCTTAATTTTCTTTCTGATTTTTTTTAATTATCGAAAAGGGACCATTCTTCCTAACATACTATTTTTAAACATATCGTTTGGCATACCTAATCAAAAAATTTTTTTGTTAATTTTTTTATAAATATACATACATCTGTGGATAAATCTTTTTTAAAAATTAAAAAGAAAATTTTTTGAAAAAACTTTTTGTCAAGTTCATTATGATTGTGACAATTTTGAACATCTTTAGTCATAGGAAAGAAAAAAAAGGTGGGGTAAAAGTGCCGTTTGTGTTCCCCTTTTTTCTCATTTTTTCATCTCCCCCAGAAAAAAGAGAAAGCTTTTTCGATATTTTAGAGGTTTTCCAGAGGTAATCGAATATGCAGAGTTCGAATATGAAGCCAGATTTTATTTATTTCGAATCCCGGACCCAAAATCCGTGCTCGAAAGGAGGTGTCACGACGCAACTCTGCTTTGCACCCAAGTGGGCTGCGATAAAATACTGCGACAAAATGGGTCGAACCCATTTTTATAAAGCAGATTTTGAATTTTTAAATTTGTTGTTACTAAAATTTCTTTCCTAAAAATTTATCGATTTAATGTTTGACCCGACCTAGAAATGGGTGCTTACGGCATTTTTTTATAAAAATTATTTTTTAATTATCATTTTTAAATTTTAATTTAAATAATTATAAACTTATTTTTATTAGAATTTTTATTTATTTTAACTTCTTTGCTCTACACTTAATTTTTAACGCTTTAAAAATGTCCTCCAACTTTGGTCGCTGTATTATCTGCACTTTGGCCTTTGAACGTGACGATATCTCGGCTTTGCGTTGCGGACACACCTATCATTTCGAATGCATCTCAACTTGGATTAATGTTAGGTTTTGGTACTTTTCCGTTATCCCTACAAACTTTTGCGGACAAATTTATGTACAGAATGGGCAGACTTCCTTCCTCAATTTCACTCTATCCCCCTTTGGCATCATTCAATGAGAAGAGAAAGTCCGCAAAAGTTTGAAGGGATAACGGAAAAGATTTTAAGTTTTATTTTTATTCTAACTTCTTTGTATTTTTTAGACCTCCAAATCTTGCCCAACTTGCCGCAAGAAGAATCTCCCGAGAGACATTATCCGTCTTTATGTTGACGAGCCAGACAAATCTATGTGCCAATTTCCGGATTCTGAAACTTCCGCAAACGTTTTTTTTTAATTTAAAGAATTTAAATAAAAATAAATTTTTAGGCCGAGTATGAACAAAAAATCAAAACTTTAGAATCTCAACTTAAAGAAATTTTGCAGGAGAAAATTAAAGTTGATGATGAATTGGCTAGAGAGGTTAATTTTTAATTTTATTTGAATATTTTTGCTTTTAAAGAAAGCAATGAACAATGACCTCAAGGCCAGGATAAAGCTTAAAGACGTGCATATTAAACGGTTGGAGGGTATTCTTGAAGATCAAGATGCGATGAAGAAGGAAAATTCTAGACTTAAGCAGCAACTTAGAGCTTCTGATTTGTTGGTTTTTTTAATTTTAAAATTAAATTGAGGGTTAAACTTTAGCCTGTGGCCCATTAAATTTTTGGTCAAAACATACCATTCAGTTTATCTAGGTGAGATTAGTGGGTGGTGGCCAACTCGAAGAATTCCAACTCACGAAACAGACAGGTCACGGAACGATAATATTCCGTGAGTTGGTCGTTCTGTGACTTGTCGTTCCCTGAGTTAGCCCGGCATGGAGATTAGTTGAGCGTTACAACTAGGGTTGGTGTTTCCGAGTCGGGCCGACGTTCGAGTCATTTTTTTCAGGCCTCATTTTTTCGAGCCGGCCCGACCGAGCCTTTTTCAGGTGGAAATTCGATCCCCGACTCGATCTTTGGGATCGGGCCCCAACCCTAATTACAACTCCTTGCGTGCGGAAAAATTAACATGGCACCCTACGTTTTTCAATTTTAGAATTCTATATCTCGGTCCTACTATAGAGTGGTAATCCCGTTCGACTTAGTTCACAGAGACGAGTCGTATGAGTTTCGAGTCAAAATTTAGTGGGCCACCGACTAAAATATATCCATTTTTAGCTACTCATATGTCTGCAAAATTTCTTCAACTGCCAACGAAACGGAAATTGAGGATATTATTAACATGTATTCAACTAAAAATGGCGACCCCAATTGTGGAGAATTTCTCAAATTAATTCGAAAGTATTTTTAAATATAAACTGGACATTACCCTATTTATTTTTAGGCAATTGAGGGCGATGGAACAAAAAAATAAAGAACTTCTTGAACAAATTCGTAAAGAGCGTCTTGAGAATAGCAAAAAAGACAAGGAACTTGAAAGGTTGCGGGAAGAGCTATCTCAGAGTCGAAAACGTACAAAGGTTCCATCAACTAGCAAAGAGTCACCTATGGCTACACGGCAACGTACTGCTCGTCCTTCCTTTGGATTTAGCTTTTATGAAGAAGACAGTGAAATTCAGGTTATTTTGGGGGTTATCATCCAATTGGGAACTTTGTTCTTTCCTAGCATTTGGGAGGATATTTTGTCGGGTTAATCTAGATGGGGAGAATTTATTCGAAATGGGCATGCCTTTCGAAGTTTATTTTACGGGGAATTGTCTGGGATTAAAAGTGCGCCTTTTTAATTTATCCGTATAAAATTATTTATGATAAACCACAAGCAGGGAGGTCACGAGTTGACTGAAACTCTGACTTTTTTAGCCGGGGCCCAACCCAAAAAAATCTTAAGATCCGACTTTTTCTTGATCCGTGACAAGTTCCCAATTGGATGATAACCTGTCTACAAACACCAAACAAATTTATATTTTTTTAAATTCCAAATTAAATTTAAAGATATTATCTGGTGGCAGCCCATCATCTCCTATGCGGGTTCACAAATTTACTGGTCCAAAGTTCTCATCTTCAAATTCGAGTTGTCAAATTCTGGAAGAGATTAAAGGACAATGCAAGCGGTATATGTCTATTTTTGATGAAAGCGAAGATTTGGAGAATATTCCGCCGCCGCCGAGGCCGCCAAAGAAGACTATTCCAAAAAACCCCATTCAACTGGGGAACGATTTAATCTCACCAAATTTGTTGGCACATGCAAGCAAGAGCAACCTGATGAATTTCAACGACTAATTGTAAGATTGAAATACAATGAACATCAAGTATAACTCTTTCATTATTTTAAAGTATATATTAGTTAAAAAAAATTTTTTTTGAATAAATTGGATAAAATTTTTTAATTTAAAAATTTGTTTTTTAGGTAAGAAATATCCGAAAATTATCTCGGTTTTGATTACTAAATTTTGGATTATACTTTGGGTATGATAAAGACCTTCGGTCTAAGGATAGTTAATATAAATCTGTCCAATAGATGTTATTTAGAATAACTTTATCTAATCATAAACAAATAGTTATAATAGATTCAATGTCAAATGAGAATCCATAGGGAATAGAAGCATGTCTTAATAAATATCGAGAAAATAAACTAGAATTTACTCTAAACTACCTATATTGTTTTTGGTCAATTAAAATTTTCGCAAAAGGATCCGAGGACAGGAATCTATTTTCTTCGACGTTTTCTTTGGGTTTCAACGTCAAGTAAAACTTGTTCGAGACTTACTCCGACATCGTTTAGGGCTATCCATTAGCCTGTTTTTTTTTGAAAATTGTTATACTATTCAAAACAATATTAATAAACTGTTTCCGAGGGAATAGGTCTAAAACACAAATTAATATTAAACTAACACTAAACATTGAACCAACAAAGAAAAATTGAAAAAAGCAAGATATACCGAAAAGCACTGTTCGCGTCTATATAATAATTTTTTATTAAAAACCTCTCAAAATGTCAAAGCTTTAACAATTTAATGAATTTCCCCGGCATTCTTCACAACTCAAACCAAAGTTCAGATGAATCAATCACAAAAAAACTAATAAAATCATCTCTCCATCACGTCTAATCACGTCATGAACCGGTGACCTGTTCGGAAATCATTTTCTGGTAAAGATGGTTGCTGCGGGACTTCAAAACTAAAAAATAAAAATAAAATTGAACTTATAACAAGAAAAAATTAAACCTGAATTTTCTGTAAACGATCGAATTTGCTCTAAAAATTTAAAAACGTTTATAAAAAGAATGATTAAAGGTAAATGATCAAACATGTAGAAAACATAAAAACCAACAAAAGTCAATTTATTTATTATGTAAAAAATTCAGTGAAATAAATAAACAAAAAAAAATTAAAACATTTACCAGCAAAAAAATCAATTTATTTCAAATCCAAACCTATTCTTCAATAACCACATTGCAAAAATTTTCCTTAATCATCCCCAAATGAAAATGTTGGTTGTGGATCCCCTCGCGCTTCTCTTTCAAGCAACTAAAAAACAAAATTTTAAAAATCTTGATTTTTTAGAAATTAAAATTGAACTGTTAGAGAAATATTTTTAAAGTAAAAAATAATAAAAAAAAACAAACATCAACCATACGCATAATATCAATTGCTGCAATAACCGCACATTTAGAAAGACAAGCAACAGATTCTTCAGAAATATCTTTAGATGAACACTCTGGCAATTCCAGCGCTCCAATGCAAATACCCTTCAAGCCATGAGTGCAGAAAACTGCAGAACCAGAGTCGACATCTGAAGCAGTAACATCGGCAATAAGATAAGGACCACGTAATTCGCCACCACCTGAATATTTTTATATTAACTTTAAATTTCAAAAAATCAAACTTTTAATTCTCTCAGTTTTAGAACTCTGAAGACAACCATTTTTCCTACATGGTTTGAGTTTGTCGATTTCATTAGTAAAGCCGCCACAAAGATAAATGCTTCCACAACACATCTTTTCACAAATTTCGGGTCCAAAATTGCAAATTTTTTCTTCCGACTTTAGAATCACAAAATCTTGTTCATTTGAAACGAACACTGCTGTAGTATTGAATTCTTTGCTGTCCTTATAAACTTCAACTTTGGTGACATTCTCTTTATATTCGACCAAAGTTGTATCGGCATATTTTGCGAAGTAGAATGGATGAATGCAGATAACTGCAGATCTGACCTCTTTGCTTGTTTTTTCATCAAAATTCGAGGTGTAAAAACAAAATTTTTCAACCTCATCTAATTCGGGAAGTTGACCTCAAAATATATTGGTTAAAGATCTATTATGTACATAAATAAAAACAAATTTTTTACCTTCCACACTCATATGAGAACCAACAGATAAGCGATTTTGACGAAGAGCCAACGATTTTGTCAATATTTCGTATTGATCACTAAGTGTTGCAATTAAACTTTGAAGGATAGGCATCTGTTCTGGTTTCACAGTTGGAATTAAAGCAGTAATTGTATTCAGTGATTTCTTAATACAATTAATTTGACCGTTTATGAGAGAATTTAAAGGGTCAATTTCAACATTTGAAGTATCTTGTATAGTCAACGGCGACAAATTCGCTTCCAAAGCTGTTATTTGATTGGTCATCTTGAAGTCGAGATAATAAACAATAAAAAATAAAATTTCTGTTTGAATAAAAGGCTAAAAAGAAAAATTAAAGGAGGCTTAAGATTAAAATATGGAAAAATCAATAATTGAAAAATGTGTTTTAAATGTTTTGCCAAAACCCATTTTGCCAAGAAGGCTAAAAACTATCGTTTTGTCGATAAGGTTTTTGCTAGATACCCTAAAAATAAATTTTTTTTTCCAAGAGTTTCCTAAAAGAAAATCCCCTCTTCAGCGTCGTTTTTTACGTATCTCGTCATTTTTAAAAATGGTTGTCGACAGCACTAAAACTGGAAGTAAATAATTTAAAAGTTCTAGAACCCAATTATCTGTCAATATTTGAGCTGACTAAGAAGCAGTTTAAAAATGTTCATAAAAAATACTAAAGATAATTGGATGATTGTTCAAACATGTAGAAAAAAAAACAAGCATGAGTCAAATTTTTATGTAAAAAGGCAGTGTGAAATTAATAAACGAAAAATTTTTTGAGAAAATACCAGCAAAAATAATCAAAAAATAATTTATTTCAATTCAAATTTAAACCATCTATTTCTTAATCTTCGAAATACTTGCTTCGCACTCCTAAAAAACAATATTTTAAATCTCAATTTTGAAGGATTTTAAATAAAACTTAGAAAAAAACTTTAAATTAAAAAATAACATACATCAACTTTACTCATAATATCAATCGCTGGCACGATCATGCACTTAGGCAGGAATTTTGCACAATTTTCGAAGATCGCTTTAGATGAACAATCGGGAAAGTCCAGCCCTCCAATTGACATACCCTTCAAACCATGAGTGCAGAAAACTGCACAGCCAGAATCACCTTTTGAAACCGTAACAACGCCAATAAGGTATGGACCACGTAATTCGCCACCACCTGAATATTTTAGTATTAACTTTAAATAAAAAATCAAACTTTTAATCCTCTCAGTTTTAGAACTCTGAAGACAACCATTTTTCCTACATGGTTTGAGTTTGTCGATTTCATTAGTAAAGCCGCCACAAAGATAAATGCTTCCAGAACACATCTTTTCACAGATTTGGGGTCCGAAATCACAAATTTTTGTTTCCGACTTTAGAACCACAAAATCTTGTTCATGTGAAACGAAGACTGCTGTAGTATTGAATTCTTTGTTGCCCTTACAAACTTTAATTTTGGTGACATTCTCTTTATATTTAAGTCTAGATGAATGGGCATATGTTGTGAAGTAGAATGGATGAATGCAGATGACTGCAGATCTGACCTCTTTGTTTGTTTTTTCATCAACAAGCGACGTGTAAAAGCAAAATTCCATAGCATATTCAATTTCGGGAAGTTGACCTCAAAATATTAATCGTTTTTAACAAAATTATTCCCCCTCCCCCATTTTTTCCTTTTCCCTGACCATTTTGAGATTCTTTGCTTGATTCGAATTTTGAAATTGACTCCTTAAATTCTCTTATAAATGGCGAGTTTAAACAAAATTATTAAGCTGAAACCTCGCTTGAAAAACTTTTTTTGTTCGATACAGGCGATTAAAACGAATGACATAACTATCTTGATTTAAGTCAGATTTCGTTGATTCGACTGAGCTCGAAGAGCTCTCTCAAGACAAATAATTTGCTATAAAAAAAGAACAAATGCTAAAAGGGATTCAGGAAAAAATGAGGAGAATATTATCTATAAAAATTTTTACCTTCTACACGCATACGAGAACCTCCAGATAAACCATTTTTCAACGATGTTGTCAACGTTTCAAATTGATCACTGAGTGTTGCAATTAAACTTTGAAGGATAGGCATCTGTTCTGTTGTAATAATAGGCATGAAATCAGTGATTGTATCGAGTGATTTCCTAACAACATTAATTTGACCATTTATAAGAGAATTTAAGGAGTCAATTTCAATATTTGAAGAACTTTGTGTTGCTAAAGGCGACAAATTTGCTTCTAAAGCTGTTCTTTTAGCCATTTAATTTTATTACCAAATTGGTTTCTTTTATTCAAACAGCTATAAAGAAAATTGGTAATCCTTAAGATCATTGGTCCCTAAAAAAAAATTGGGAAAAAAGTGCTGTTTTGATAATTTTGACCCCAAATTCGACTTTGTCGAATTTGGGTTCGTGGTTCGAAATAAACCAATTCTAAGCTCAGATTCGGACTCAGCACACTCGATTACCTACTGGCAGACCTCAAAATTATCAAAACAGCACTTTTTTCCCAATTTTTTTTAGGGACCAATGATCTTAAGGATTACCAGAAAATTAAATACAGATTTAAAAGATTAAAGAAAAATGAACAATCTGATTCTACTGGACTAAATTTCTAAACACGCGGTTTTGGGAGAAACAGAACCGGTACATTGGCAGAACTCGCCAAAAATAAACCTAAACAGTCATACCAGAAATCTAATTGAATAAAATCAAAAAAATATTTTTTTTAAATTTCTATTAAAGGCACTATTATTTTTTTAAGTTTCGGAAGTTTTATTGGAATTAGCCATTCATTTAGGGTATTTCTGCCACTGCGGAGAATTCTAGCCTTTTGGCAAAATGTTGGTCTTTTCCCTCGTCGACAAAAGGACATTTTAACACTTCGTAATTTTGTTTACCGTATTATCTCTATTAGAATGCCCCTCTCCATTTGAATGCCCCCCTCTAATAGAATGCCCCTCTAGCGGAAGATCGAAAAATACAATGCCCCCCTCCATTTGAATGCCCCCCTCTAATAGAATGCCCCCCTTTTTTTGCTGAAATTTTTCTAAATAAAAAAGATATTACAATTTATATTTAAAACGTTTACTACATATTCACTTTTAATTATTTTTCTTGCCATTTTTAAAACTATTATTTAAACAACATGAAAATTACTGAATTCTATTTGAATAAAGTTTTTGGAAATTTTCTTTTTGGAAATAGACTTCTTGTTTGGGATTCATTCAGGTTTTTCTCATTTAGAATAATGGTAATTAGTTTCTATAAGTATTTTATATTAAAGTAAGTCGAGTACCGAGTAATTGGGAAAAAACCGTTTGAATGCCCCCGAGTTTGAAATCCGAGTTCCGAGTTTGAAAAACCCGAGCTCGAGCTCAACTTATTAGGTCGAGTTCGAGTAGTCGAGTAATCGAGTATTTTTTATAAAATCCTCTTAATCCGCCGAAATTCCCTGATATGCACACGATCCATGTTGGCTCCGGGCTCCGGGTCGAAAATCAATGGATAATATTATTTTGGGGATTTGTGTAGATTATGCGGATATCGAGTGATATCAGAGGAACGAGAGGATATTAAGGGATTAAGCGGGATTTTGGCTGATTATCGTGGGATTTGGATGTATTAAGAGTCTGTCGAGTAGTGTATTAAGAGTGTACCGAGCCTGTCGAGTAGGAATTTTCCGAGTTCGAGTAATCCGAGTATTATTATCCCGAGTTCCGAGTCGAGTAATTACGCAAAAAACCGAGCGGTCGAGTCGAGTAACTCGAACTCGCTCGAACTCGACTTACTCTATTTTATATTATAGATAAAAATTTTTGATAAAAATTTTTTCAAACTTTAAAATTTAGTCATCGAAAAATACAATGCCCCCCTCCATTTGAATGCCCCCCTCTAATAGAATGCCCCTTTGGAAGGTGATTGAAAAATAGAATGCCCGGGCATTCTATTAGAGATAATACGGTAAATGGATTGGGGATCATTGAGTCCCACCGGTTGAGTCCAGGAGCCATATTTTGGTCCATAACTTTTTTGGGATTCAACCAATTCGAATAAATCTTTTACCATTCGAAAGCCCTGGATGTGAGGATTATTTTCGCCAACTAGATTAATTTGATCTGACATCCTACAAAAAGTTACATCTAGATAAGCGCGCGCAATCGTGTTTTGAATCTTTATTAAGCCTTAACTTTTTGTATAAATATCTAATCAAATCAATCCTGCTAGATAAAATAATCCTCACATTTAGAGCTTTTGATTGATATATTAATTATCTAAATCGATTAAGAATTGAAAGAGTTATGGCATAAAATGTGGCTCTGGGACTCAACCAGCGAGACTCAATAATCTTTTTCCGTGCTGAAAATATTATTTTAAATTTTTCGAATACCTAAATTATCTAGTTTTTTGTTAAATTTGTGTTTTTAGGTCAAAAATTTTCGAAAATTACCTCTTGTTTTTTTACTAAATTAATTTTTTATTTTTTAGGAAATGCTTATTGCTCCTCAATTTCTTTTATTCTCTTTTTTTATTTTTTGTGCAATTCTTTTGTATCGGCACATAAAATTAAGGAGTCAACTAATTAATGTCCCTTCGCCTCGATCCTGGATGTTATTTGGACACGTTTTAATTATTAAGCCGGACATGGAAGGATTTATTGACCAATTAATGGGAATGGCACAGCTTTATCCACAACACCCAAGAATGACTTTATTTTGGTTTGGCACAATTCCAACGTTAATGATTTATTCTGCGAGACTTGTTGAATCTTTGTTCAGTAATAACAATCATATAAATAAAGGAATGTTTTATGATATGTTTCGACCTTGGCTTGGAAATGGACTTTTAACCAAGTTTTTTTGAATTTTTTGAATTAAAAATTTTTTGAATTTTTAAAGCACTGGTGAAGGATGGCGTGCTCGACGCAAATTGCTCACTCCAACATTTCACCACGAAATTTTGAAAAGTTTTGTGAATGTATTTAATTATCAAGCTGATATACTTGTTCGTAAATTGCATTCTTTGGTGGGCAAAACTGAGTAAGTTTTGAATTTTCGTTTATTATCTAGGGAAGTTTCGTGGGGTCCTGTTGTTTGGGTAAGCCCAATCGATGGCATGGCCCGTCAAAAACAGACTCCTTTTCGTTAGAATAAGTTTTGTGTGGAGTAGCGCAAGAGAAAAAACCTATCCCGACCAAATTAATTTAAAAACTGAACTGATTTACTTGGGTTCCCTCTCCTCCTATTTATGACCGAGAAAATTAAGACGGGTCAAAATCCATGCCAATTTTTAAAATAAAAACTTTTTCTTTTTAGAGGCCACATTGATGATATTACTCCACTTATAAGTCTTTGCACTTTGGATATTATTTGTGAAACCTCTATGGGTAGATCAGTAAATGCACAACAAGAGGAAGACTCAGATTATGTTAAAGCTGTTCTTTGCATTAATGACATCATCCAAAATAGACAGAAAAACCCTTTAGTTTGGCCAGATTTATTTTTCTGGTATTTTGGTGCTGGCAGGAAGCATGAATGGTCTTTGAATATTTTGAAGTCTTTTACCAGAAAGGTAATTTTTAAAATATTTTTTAATTCGAAAAAAATATTTTTGTAGGTAATTATTGAACGAAAAGTAGAGCGAAAACAGCAAAGAGTCAACCAGGAAATTAATATTGAGCGTCGTCTTGCATTTTTGGATTTGTTGTTGAAAATGGAAGAGAATGGTGATTTGAGCGAGAATGATGTTCAAGAAGAGGTTTTATATTTTAAGATTGGGCCTCGTTATAATAGACACCCAATATTAGATACACCTCTATTTAAGAGACGTTTCTTAAAATTTGGGTTAGTCACTGGGTATAGGAACTCCCAAGCGACACTCTCTTTTTTAGATACATTCAACATGAGAGAATTTCAGCCCAAGGGTGTATCCTATAGTGATGTTCGACTTTGTTCTGATAAAATGCCTTTAAATTTTAAGGTGGATACATTTATGTTTGAAGGACACGACACAACAGCAGCAGCTATCACCTGGTCTCTTTTCATGCTTGGTTGTCATTTAGAATACCAACAAAAATGTTATGAAGAAATTCAATCTGTGTGTGGAGATTCAGACAATTTAAGCTTCGAAACTTTGGGAAAACTTTGTTTTTTGGAATGTTTTATCAAAGAATCTTTGCGTCTTTATCCAAGTGTTCCTCTTATAACTCGTCGCTTAAATTGTGATGCTGAGATTGGTGGACATGTTTTTCCTGCTGATACTCAAATAGTCATCAACATTTATCAAATTCATCGAGATCCTGAACATTGGGATGATGCAGAAAAATTTATGCCAGAACGGTTTGTTGATTAAATTTTTTGTTTTTGATACTTTGGCTGCTGCCTCCCCCTTTCTTTTTTCTTTATTTTTGTATTCCTCATTTTGAAAAAGGTATTAATCTGTAGTAAAATGATAAATTAATATATACCGTATATACTCTATTAATTACCCTCCCTCAAATAATTACCCCACCTCTATTAGTTACCCCCTCCAGCGAAAGGTTGAAACAATAATTACTCCCTTAAAAATAGCTATAATTAGCCTCCCTAAAATAACCTCTATTAATTACCCCGCCTCTATTAATTACCCTCTCCAGAGTAAGGTCGAAACAATAATTACCCAGGGTAATTAATAGAGTATATACGGTATATATATATATTATTAGCGCCGCAGGCAAAAATTTTGAGAATTTTAGAAGGCCATATGGGTAATTTCGTTCATATAACAAATGAGAAATCAATCCTTAGGGGTGTTAAAAATACCGATATTCATCGGTATCCGACGCTAATCCCGATACCGGCCTCGGTATCGGTATCAGCAAAAACGGTATCGGGGTTTATCATTCGGTAGCGGTATCAGTAAAATCGGTATCGGTATTCAAAGAGACCGGTATAATACCGCCCGATACCGGTCGGGATCCCGATACCGCTGAACCCTACCTAAAACATATGTCCACCGTTGGATATTAGTCTGGTTAAGGCCGTAGTTAGATGGGCATTGGTCTTGGTAGTTTGGTATACCTGTTTGGTATTTTGAGATGTTTGGGGGCTTGTTATTATGAAAGAGGGTATTATGAAACGTTCCGGAAAAGGCAAGGTGCTCAAGGATTAGGATCATTTTACGAAGGATAAAGGAGAAGAAGGTGGGTGGAAAATGGTCAGAAAAAAGAAGAAAGCAAACAATTGGGGGGGGGGGCGTCAGTCAATGTATTGTTAATTTTGTTTTCTTACTAAAACATTTTAAGTTTTTTGACTGATAACATCAAAGACCGTCACCCATTTGCTTTTGTTCCATTCTCAGCTGGTAGTCGAAATTGTATTGGACAACGTTTCGCCTTATTAGAAGAAAAAACTGTGCTTGGTTGGATTCTGAGAAATTTTCATGTCAAAAGTCTTTTACGTCGTGATCAATTGCGAACGAAAGCTGAACTTATACTTAGGCAAGCAAAACCTGTTAAAATGTTATTGACACCTAGGACGAAGAAAGAAACTAACAACAATTAATTAGAGAAGATTTTTGTTAATAATTAATTAGGCAAATTAGGATAATTTAAAGATTTTTTTAAATAATTTTTTTGTTAATTTGATATTTTGACAGATATTTTATGCATAATAGGGGCTTTAAGACATTTTTTGGTCGACATTTGTGAACAAACTAAAGTCAATAGGACCCGGATTTTTCGGACCCGGATTTGCAATTTGAGCCGGACCGGATCCGGGCGGATTAATCCGAAGATTGCGAAAAAAAACCCGGATTTGGGACCCTGACTCCGGAAAAATCCGGCCGGATCCGGTCCCGGTTACTAGTTTATGTAAATGTTCACATCTTTTTTTCCGCAAATATCTCCCGAATCATTTTATAATGTCGTATAATTTTATCAAATTTTCTAATAAATATTTGAAATTTTAATTTGATTTAAGTTTTGAATTGTTCTTAAATGACAATGAAAAATTATGCTTTTTTTATTTTTGTTTTGAAAAAAAAGTATGAACGAAATTTTGGCGGCTACTAATTTATTTAAAAAAATGGATTGTTTGCTTGTTTTTAAACATTCTTTTCTTTTTAATTTTTAAAGTTTAGGAGACTCCGTTTGAAAAACTTTCTTCAAATTTTTTAAAATAAGAAATGGATAGTGCGTCAAAACATATAGCTGATGTGTTTACAGATCTTCATAAAATTGGAGAAGGGACCTATGGAACGGTTTACAAAGTTAGGACAAAACAAGATGGAGAATTAAAAGCTTTGAAGCAGATTAGATTAAATCAGTTAGTTTTTTTTTTTGGGTGGGAGGGATTTTTGAAGTTTTTCGTTGAGGCTGGGACCAGTCTGGGATTAAATTTCTTTGGAAGACCAAATTAATAAACGTTAATTTTAAAGACACTACCTCACATTTAAATGCATTTAACTAGTGACGGAAATTTTCGAAAGGCCTGGACTTTGGGTTTGATTTATTGACCTGGGCCGGATCTTGGGCCTGCGGTCCAGGAAAAGCCCATGCCCAGGAAAAATACAGGAAGGTCAAAAAATGCCTGGGCCTGGACTCTACTGGAAAATCCAGGCCTTGGTCCAGATCCGACTCAATCACTACATTAAACTAATCGGACCTAAAATGAAGCGTATCTTAAATAGAGGGGATCGCTCATTTCCTCCACCAACCCACGCTAATTGTCAGCCAAACTTTGGGGCACCTTATATTTTCCGACTGAATTTAATTTTTTCAATTTAAGAGGTTGTGAAGGTGTGCCAAGTACTTGTATTCGTGAAGTTTGTTTGTTAAAGGAATTGACACATCCAAATATTGTTCATTTGGAAGATGTTATGATTCACAGTAAAAAAATTTTTTTTTTAATTTTTAAAAATTTTAAATTTTAGAAGGAAGAAAGCTTTATTTAATTTTTGAATTTATTGATCAAGACCTTAAAATGTTATTAGAACGTTTGTCTCCGCGTCCATTGCCCGTTCCTAATGTTAAGGTTTATTTTTTCATTTTATTTAATTGAAAAAAATTTTTTAAGAGTTTTATTTGGCAAATGCTTCAAGCTTTGGCTTATTGTCATACACACAGAGTTGTCCACAGAGATTTAAAACCTCGTATATTTTTTGGTTTTTTTTATTTCTTTCTATTTTTTTAGAGAATTTGCTTGTGAAGAATGATGGGACTATTAAATTAGCTGATTTTGGATTAGCTCGGTATATTTTTTTTCGAGGGGAGGAAAAAGAGTTGGACTCATTTTCGTTTTATTTTCGCTATTATAAATTTAGTAACTCTTTCTGGAATAATTTTTGGATCTGGATTCATTTTTTGGGGATTTCATTCTCTTCCCTTAGGTCTTATCTTAGGCTGATTTTTTTCCAAATTCTAGTGTCTCTGTGGACTCTGGAAAAATCCGGCCGGATCTGGTTCGGCGCCGGGCACTAATTGATATGGAAATTTGATTTCTCAAATTTTTTCCAAGATTCGGGCTTTTCTTTAGATTCAGATCTTTCCAAACACTGGCCACTAATTTTATTTTACATCATTTTTAAATTTCAGAGCCTTTTCGTTGCCAAGTCGTTGTTACACCCACGAAGTTGTAACGCTTTGGTATAGAGCGCCAGAAGTACTTTTGGGTGCTCTCTATTATTCTACAGCTGTTGATATTTGGAGTTTGGCTTGTATTTTTGCGGAATGTTTACGTAATGAGCCTCTATTTAAAGGAGATTCTGAGATTGACCAACTTTTTAGAATTTTTCAAATTCTTGGAACGCCTAATTCTAAGGTTTTTTTTTTAAATAAAAATTCTTTTTAGTTATTTTGTTCAGTTTATACGTCCTTAAAGTTGTGTATTTTTGTTGGTTTTAAAAATAGAGGTTGGGTTCTTTAACGTATTTTGGGGTTGAAATTTATGGTTAATTGTCTTTGGACCATCCTTTAACTTTAATTAATTTTGACTGGTTGCAGTCAATTTTTTAAAAAATTTTCCTAAACCATTACAAGCTACCCAAAATTTGTACTGTTAATCGAGAAAATAATTTTTGATACTAGCCGGCAAAATTGATTTTTTCGGAGTTTGATTTGTATAATAGCTAAGAACCTGACCTGATCCAACCGAAGTCGAAACTCGAACTTTAGAAAAATCTGGCCGGATCCGAACCGACGTCGGTCATTAATTTATTTAATTTATTAATCATTTTGTCATAGATTTCGAAACCAAAAAATGTTAAGGGAACCCAAATCTAATTTTTAATTTGCTTGTGAAGATTTGATTTTGGACCATCCAAAGAAACTCAAATTTGCGGACAATAGCTGTCTGTATAAACGATACCCTCTAAGATGCACCTTATATAAGTATCCTCATTATAAGAAACCCCCAATATTAAATACCTCAATATTAGGTACACCTCTATGTAAGAAAAGCTTTTTAAAATTTGTAGTATGGCCCCTGGATGTATGGCTCCCAAAGAAAATTTAATTTAAAAAAAACTGCATGGGGCCTATAAACTGAGACACGTCTCTCCAACATTTTTCTAATTAATTTTATTTATTTTTTTAAAGACATGGGCAGGTGTAGAACGTTTCCCCGACTATAAAAATAATTTTCCAAAATGGAAGCGTCGTGATATGCGTGAATTAATAACAATATTAGATGAAGATGGAATTGAACTTTTAAAACAAATGTTGGTATATCCACCAATGGATAGAATTACAGCAAAATTAGCTCTTTCACATCGTTTTCTTCGTGATATGACATTAAAATTGCATGACATTACTTTACTTTATGAAAAATAATTTTTAAAAGAGAGAGAAGAAATTAAAGAAGAGGAGAAGGTAAATTCAAAAGAATAATTTATTTAAAAAATAAATTTAATTTTTTATTTTTAATTATATAAATTATTTTTATATATTTAAAGTATAATTGAAAATAAAGACAAAAAAATATATTTTTTTTAAATTAATTAAAATTACAAAAAAAAATATTTTTTTTTGTTTAAAAGACTTGGACGGGTATAGAAATTTTTTTACCAAATTAAAGATATTTTTTTTTGTTCAATAGTTTGGTGCGTGTCGGGGCAAAATACCGTCCGACTAAAAAACAGTCCACATAAAGTAAAAATGCCGTCTATTTCAATTTATGTAAAAGTTTAGAATAAAATCTTGAGGCAAAGGAATAAAGTATTAACCAGAGGTGGGTCGGAACAGTCCGAGGTGTCGGAAATCGGAAGAGCCGGACATCGGAACTGGCTCAAAAGTCGGAACTCGGAAATCAAAAAATTTTTTCGGAAATCGGAGGGGAAAAACGTCGGAAATCGGAATTCCGACCCACCTCTGGTATTAACCAAGACCTAATAGCTAATAGGATCTTAAGACGACATTAATATCGTCTGAAATCGAATTTATTGTCTGTAATAGTAGGGTAGATTTTCAAATCTGTCCAGACGGTGTTTTGTCGGACGGTGTGTTGCCCCTCTTCCAGTTTGGTAGTTTGTTTCCATGGTCACACAAACACAAAAGTAAAAATGCCTAAATAATATATAGCTTTTTAGTTCATATAGTGAAATAGAAGAGAAAGTTTTGTTGTTGTCACACATTTCCTTTTTACCTGAATTTAAATTTTATTTTTGTCCTTCAAAATAAACTTAAAAATTCACTGAATTTCTCCAAAAACATTCAATGTCCAAAATTTAATTTTCTTCAATCGGGAAAGGGAAAATTGTATAAATAAATAAAATGACACAACAGGCAGCAACAGCATCAAGTTCAGTTATTGGTGGAATGCCTCAAGGGCTTTTTAATTTGGGCGTGCCTTCAATAGGTACAAGTTCAGCACCGAGTACTGGTATTCCTCCAAAAACGCTGGCTGATCGGTTTGATTTTAATACAGTCGGGCCTCTTTATAAAATACACTCTATACTTTTAAAGTGATTTACAAACGATACCCTCTACTTAACATACACATCATTATAAGTGACCTTCTCTATAAGATATAGAGGGCAGCTTCGTTTTAAAATATTTGGTGGGTCAATACTGTCTAAGCAATACCCTCTATTTAAGATGACCTTACATATGATACCCTCATCAAAAGAAACCCCCAATATTAGGTACACTTATATTTAAGAGACGCCTTTTAAAATTCGTTTAACCCTTGGATGTGGGAGCTTTCTAAGCGATACCTTCTATTTAAAATACACCTCAATATAAGAGACGATTTTCTCAGTGGTGTCTTATATGGTGAGCCTTGGGTGAGTCATATAATGAGGTCTGACTAGCAGATGAGTAAATAAAAAATTTTTGACCCAAAAAATATATTTAAGATATCGAATGACTAAAAAAGTTGGAGATGGAACTTTTGGAGAAGTCTCTTTAGCTATAAAATTAGACACGGGGGATGTTGTTGCAATTAAAAGGATGAAGAAAAAGTTTTATTCGTGGGATGAGGCAATGAATTTACGAGAAGTTAAATCTTTAAAAAAATTAAATCATCCAAATATAATTCGGTAGTTAACAATTTTTGTAAAATTAATTTAAAAGAATTTTAAAGTTTACGAGAAGTAATCAGAGAGAACGATATTCTTTATTTTGTATTTGAATTTATGCAAGAAAATTTATATGAATTAATGAAGGAACGGTAATTTATTTGAAAATTAATGAAAAAGAGTTTGATAAAATCGTTGAAAGTAAAGTGGTCCTTCACGGAATTAATCAAGTAAAACGACCCTCAAAAATATTCCACATGTGGGATTCCGTAAACAAGATTTTGCCGACAACTAGTAGAAGGTACAACGGAGAAACATTAAAATTAACTAGATACCTCTCAATTTTTTTCAAAGTTGGCCGGCCACTGGGTAAAGGGAGAGGGGTCTGCATAAACTATAACTTCCGATTTAAGATACACCTCATTATACGGTATGATTTCTCCAAGTGGGTATTTACAAGTGAGGCTCGACTGCAGTAAAATTTATAAAATGAATATTCTTCCTTGGAAATTTACCAAAAGATTATTTTTTGAAATTATGTATTTATAGAACTATTAAAAATACTCGTTCTTTTTAGAGATCGCTATTTCCCAGAGAATTCCATTCGAAATATAATTTATCAGGTACTTCAAGGCCTTTCTTATATGCACAGAAACGGTTATTTTTAAATTATCAAAAAATTTTAAATTTTATTTTTGAAGGGTTTTTCCACAGGGACATGAAACCAGAAAATATAATGTGTAATGGAACAGAATTAATTAAAGTAGCCGATTTTGGGTTGGCTAGGGAAATTCGTTCAAGACCTCCTTTTACTGATTATGTCTCTACTAGATGGTTATTTTAAGTTTAAGCTTAAAAAATTTTAATTTAATTAGGTATAGAGCACCTGAAATTTTGCTTAGATCGGTAAATTAAATAGTCAAACCTCTATATAAGATACCCTCAATATTAGAGACACCTCTTTTTAAGAGACGTTTTTTAATTTTGGTGGGCCATTAAATGGGGATGCACCCAAGCGATACCCTCTATTTAAAATACACTTTAATATAAGGTACATTCAATTTAAGATACCCCAAATATTATATACATACACCTCAATATAAGGGACATTTAATTTGGTAGCTTACCCTAATTATGACAAACCCCTTTTTAAGAGACGTTTTTTTAAGTTTTTGATTAGCCACTGGGTGGAGGAGCCGTCTAAGCGATACCCCCTATTTAAGATACACTTCAATATAAGGTACGCCTCTATATAGAATACCCCCATTACTAGAGACACCTCTATTTAAGAGACGTTCAATTGAAATTTGGATAGCCGCTAGGTTGGGGGAGCTGCCCAAGCAATACCCCTTAATTAAACTACACCTCATTATAAGAGACTATTTTTAAGCATTGAGAGGGTATCTTATAAAGAGGTTTTCAATTGTAATAAAAAAATTTATTTAAATTAAAAAAAGACTTTTTACAATTCCCCAATTGATTTGTGAGCTTTGGGTTGTATTATGGCAGAATTATATATGCTTCGCCCACTCTTCCCTGGAACTTCAGAATTGGACCAAATATTTAAAATAATTAATGTGCTTGGAACTCCAACAAAAGTTTTTTTTTAAAAATTAAAAAAATAATTTAAAAATTAAAAAAAGGAAGAATGGCCAGAAGGCTATAGATTAGCCACTGCAATGAATTTTTCTTTTCATCAAAGTTCGGGTGTTCCTTTAAAAAGTATTGTAAATACGGCAAGTGATGATGCTATTAAATTAATGTCCGATTTTCTTGCTTGGTGCCCAGAGAAAAGGCCTACTGCTGTAAATGTTTGTGACAAATTGAAATAAGAATAGTCAGACCTCACTATAAGAAATACCCTCTTAAGGCTGAAATATTTAGTCTCTTTTAATGACATGTATGTTAAATAGAGGGTATCGCTTAAGCTTCCTAATAGGGGGCATCCGCACGGTTTGGACATCGGTTCCGGTTATTCGAATGTTCCCCAGCAACCGCTAACCCTAGCTCCAACCCTAACTCTCTAACCCTAGCTCCGATCCAAATTGAAAAAAGTATACCAAATTGAGGCTTATCTAATTTTGGGGTTATCTTATAGTGAGGTCAGTATTTTAAAAAATAATATACATGTAAAATAAATTTCAGTCATTAAAATACCCCTACTTCCAAGTAAGCCAAAAAATGGGAGCCCCAATTCTTTCACAACCAGCAACTAGCACTATACGTAAAAATTCTGCTGGTTCAACACAAAGCGATTCAAAATTGGTAACTAATAATAAAAGAATTACTCAAAAGGCTGCTAAAATGACCCAAAAAGTTTCTTTAAATAAACTAAAAAATTAAAAGAAATTTTTTAAGGTTGTACCCGCAAAAGGAGGATTACCTTTTATAACTATTAAGGAAAAACAACAACAAATAAATGCAGAAAATCCTTTGGCAGGATTAGAAGATGAATTAGAAAAATTACAGGAAGAACAACAAGTATGAGAGAATCGGGCCTCCCTATAAGATACCCCCAAACTAGACCCTCTATTTAAGATCGTTTTTAAAATTTTGTTGGCCAAAAGGTTGGGGGAGCTCTGCCTACGCAATACCCTCTATTTAAGTTACACTCATTATAAGATACCCTCTATATAATATACACCCGATATTAGGTACAGTTAATTTCAAGATACTGGTTGACCCCTGGGTGGGAGAGCTTTTAAAGAGGTACCCCCTATTTAAGATACTCTTTAAGTTACGATTATTTCAACTTCAAGGGGTATCTTATAGCGAGCTTTGACTGTCTACTAAAACGAATATTTAAATTATTTTACAGGAAAAAGAACAACAAAAAATTGAACGAATAAGAAACTCGGAAAGTGCAAAAACAGAAAATACAACACAAATTCGAGGCCCAGATAGAAATAGAAATTTATCTTTAAAAGGCGTTGAAAGTATTGCTGAATTAATTTTTGATACAAATAATGGAAATAATAGGTAAAAAATGAAGAGAAAAATATAAAAAAAATTAATTAATTTTAAAGAACAAATAACCCTAAAAATCAAAAAATGCCAAATAACGAATTACCTTCAAGTGGAAAAAGAGAACAATTATCAATGAGTGCCAAAAAAGCAAAGGAAATATATTTAAGTAAATCGAGATATATACCTGGTATGTTTTTTTGTAATTAAATCCAGCCCAAAGGCTATTTATGCGCTTAAATGTGGAGAAGGAATGTTGAGGATTTACATAATTTTTGATTTCTGAATTTTGAGCCAGTTCCGATTTCCGGCTCTTCCGATTTCCGACACTTCTGACTGTTCCGACCCACCTCTGCTTAGCAAGTATGTCAATACACTTGCTGTTCAGGATTTACAAACAAAGCTAGACCCGATAGCCTCCCATCTCGGGGCGTGCCACCTGTTTAAGGGCTGCTTAGCACTTAAATTACATTAAAGCAGCCACCGATTTGCCTGAATCACCCGTTAAGTACAAGTCTGGTGTGTTGCCCACTATTCTATAAATTAATTTAATGTTTAAAAAAGGTATAAAATCTGATATAATAAGTGGAAACAACAAAACAACGACAACACAATTACCTCCTGCTTTGGGGCCTAAACAAGGAAATGATAACAATAATAGTGTAATACAACAAGCACGTACTGGAGTACAAGCACGTTTTGAATATGCCTATGGTAATTATTGAAAAAATTATTAGTCGAACCTCTCTATAAGATACACCCAATATAAGACACTTCAATACAAGAGACTTTTTTTAAAATTTGGTTGACCTAATGGGACTGAGGGGCTGCCCAAGCCTTACCTTCTATTTAAGGTATATTTCGGTATAAGGTAAACCTCTTTAAAGATACACCCAATAATAGATACATCTCAGTTTAAAATACGGTTTCTGAAATTATTGAAAGGGAGTTACCTAAGCGAATCTCTCTATTTAAGATAATCTCATTATAAGGTGTTTAAGTCTCAAGGGTGTATCTACCTACATATTTTATTGAAATTAAAAATATTTTTAAGGATATGTCCCATCATTTGGGGGAAATGCTAATAATAATCGTCAACAACAACAAACAACGGCACCACAAATCTCAACAAATGTAGGCCGCGTAAACTGGGCAGCTAAATATCAACGAAATTGATTTTAAAAAATACAAAAATTCTATAGAAAATTCAAAAAATTGGATTCTATTTACATTTAAGTAATGCATTTCCATTTAAAGATATTAATTACAAAAAATTGGCACATACGTACATTTAAATATTTATTAATAAAATAATGAAAAATAATCATAACAAATTTAAGAAATATAGTGGACTTATCGACACTTATTTGTTAACGTTTTAGTTTCGTTCTTCCCTTTCACGTTTTATAAGTTTGTATCATCCAAAAAGGCTTTACATTTAGGCTTTACCAAAAAGGCTTTACATCTAGGTTTTCCGAAGTGCCCTAATGCCCATAGATTTTGTCATCTATTTCGTCATCTAGGTCTTCCGAAGTGCCCTAAAGGCCATAGAAGATGATAATATTTGGTAAGGAAATAAATTTTTTCAAGTCTCAGAAGAGACATTAGAGTCCCATATGATAATATTTGGTAAGGGAATAAATTTTTTCAAGTCTCAGAAGAGACATTAGAGTCCCATATGATAATATTTGGTAAGGAAATAAATTTTTTCAAGTCTCAGAAGAGACATTAGAGTCCCATATGATAATATTTGGTAAGGGAATAAATTTTTTCAAGTCTCAGAAGAGACATTAGAGTCCCATATGATAATATTTGGTAAGGAAATAAATTTTTTCAAGTCTCAGAAGAGACATTAGAGTCCCATATGATAATATTTGGTAAGGAAATAAATTTTTTCAAGTCTCAGAAGAGACATTAGAGTCCCATATGATAATATTTGGTAAGGGAATAAATTTTTTCAAGTCTCAGAAGAGACATTAGAGTCCCATATGATAATATTTGGTAAGGAAATAAATTTTTTCAAGTCTCAGAAGAGACATTAGAGTCCCATATGATAATATTTGGTAAGGAAATAAATTTTTTCAAGTCTCAGAAGAGACATTAGAGTCCCATATGATAATATTTGGTAAGGGAATAAATTTTTTCAAGTCTCAGAAGAGACATTAGAGTCCCATATGATAATATTTGGTAAGGAAATAAATTTTTTCAAGTCTCAGAAGAGACATTAGAGTCCCATATGATAATATTTGGTAAGGAAATAAATTTTTTCAAGTCTCAGAAGAGACATTAGAGTCCCATATGATAATATTTGGTAAGGAAATAAATTTTTTCAAGTCTCAGAAGAGACATTAGAGTCCCATATGATAATATTTGGTAAGGAAATAAATTTTTTCAAGTCTCAGAAGAGACATTAGAGTCCCATATGATAATATTTGGTAAGGGAATAAATTTTTTCAAGTCTCAGAAGAGACATTAGAGTCCCATATGATAATATTTGGTAAGGAAATAAATTTTTTCAAGTCTCAGAAGAGACATTAGAGTCCCATATGATAATATTTGGTAAGGAAATAAATTTTTTCAAGTCTCAGAAGAGACATTAGAGTCCCATATGATAATATTTGGTAAGGAAATAAATTTTTTCAAGTCTCAGAAGAGACATTAGAGTCCCATATGATAATATTTGGTAAGGAAATAAATTTTTTCAAGTCTCAGAAGAGACATTAGAGTCCCATATGATAATATTTGGTAAGGAAATAAATTTTTTCAAGTCTCAGAAGAGACATTAGAGTCCCATATGATAATATTTGGTAAGGAAATAAATTTTTTCAAGTCTCAGAAGAGACATTAGAGTCCCATATGATAATATTTGGTAAGGAAATAAATTTTTTCAAGTCTCAGAAGAGACATTAGAGTCCCATATGATAATATTTGGTAAGGGAATAAATTTTTTCAAGTCTCAGAAGAGACATTAGAGTCCCATATGATAATATTTGGTAAGGAAATAAATTTTTTCAAGTCTCAGAAGAGACATTAGAGTCCCATATGATAATATTTGGTAAGGAAATAAATTTTTTCAAGTCTCAGAAGAGACATTAGAGTCCCATATGATAATATTTGGTAAGGAAATAAATTTTTTCAAGTCTCAGAAGAGACATTAGAGTCCCATATGATAATATTTGGTAAGGAAATAAATTTTTTCAAGTCTCAGAAGAGACATTAGAGTCCCATATGATAATATTTGGTAAGGGAATAAATTTTTTCAAGTCTCAGAAGAGACATTAGAGTCCCATATGATAATATTTGGTAAGGAAATAAATTTTTTCAAGTCTCAGAAGAGACATTAGAGTCCCATATGATAATATTTGGTAAGGAAATAAATTTTTTCAAGTCTCAGAAGAGACATTAGAGTCCCATATGATAATATTTGGTAAGGGAATAAATTTTTTCAAGTCTCAGAAGAGACATTAGAGTCCCATATGATAATATTTGGTAAGGAAATAAATTTTTTCAAGTCTCAGAAGAGACATTAGAGTCCCATATGATAATATTTGGTAAGGAAATAAATTTTTTCAAGTCTCAGAAGAGACATTAGAGTCCCATATGATAATATTTGGTAAGGAAATAAATTTTTTCAAGTCTCAGAAGAGACATTAGAGTCCCATATGATAATATTTGATAAGGAAATAAATTTTTTCAAGTCTCAGAAGAGACAAGTCTCAGACCAAACGAAAAGAACCACCATATTCTGCAACATATAAACGCGCTTGAATTAGAGCTTTCCAAGAAGATGTCGGTAAACGACTGAATGGCTTGACTTCCAAAACGAGACGTTCAATATTCTTTTTGAAAAAATAAAAAAACATTTTAAGTCAGATTTCATTATAGGACACACACTTGGGGTTTAAAAAGGTGGGGTGTCTTAAATAGAAGGTAGCAATTAGACAGTTTCTCCTTCCTCTCTCAATAACCAACCCAAGACTTATACAGACGTTTATTTAATAGAGGATTAGGCCTTCTTCCTTCCTTAGGCAGCTTTCCCACTCAGTGACCAACCCAAGATTTAGAGAACGTCTATTAAATGGAGGTGCTCTTAGAGGAAACCCCACCTTAAAATTACTGAGTGAATCCTAGACGAGACCCGCCTGTATAACAAATATACAAATTACCTCACCATTATATAATCTGCTTAAAGCGCAGATTCTCCTTTCCAGAACTACAACATTCATTAATTCCAGTAATTACTCCCTCTTCATTTATTTGCAAAATAATTCCAACAGTGCGCACACCATCCACAGAATTCTCGATTCCAACACCAATTTTGGCGTCTTTGATCGAATCAATACTAATCAGTTGCACACCTGGCCATTTTATAATCAAACTTGGAGGTTTCACAAGTATAATTACTGTTGTTGAGCTCCTAAAAATTAGAAAGGATTAAAAATTGAAAGCGCCTTGGCTTTATTTATTAAATTTTTTTCTAAAAAGATTTTCCTAAAGGAAGAGGATTTACGTAGTTTTAAATAAAAGGACGCAATCGAGCTGAATTCGAAAAATATTAAAAAGCCAAAAAACATGTGAGAGGACTTTTTCCCTTCAACAATTATAAGGGGAAAATGAGTAACTTTGGTGGCCTCATTTAAAACAGAATGCCAAAAGATAAAGAAAAATACTCGGGAAGGTTTTTAAAATATTCTTTGAAAATAAAAATAAAACTTGCCCTAAACTGTCAACAATACAGAAGACATTTACCAAAAATATAAAAAACGCTTTAAGCAGAATTTAATAGTTGTGTAGGGGTAATTAAATAAACATATATTTCCATCAATAAAAGGATACGGACATATGCACAAGCTCATGAATTAATAGGATACATAAAAATACCATACAACATTTGTAATGGAATAAGGAATATATACAAAGGATACAAATTAAGCTTATGGAATTAAATAAATGGAATTAAATACACAAGAGCAAATACGTTGTTCACTTATCACGACGAACTTTCTTCATCAGAACTTTTCGTTCTTCACGTTTTCGCTCTACGAGTTGATCATATTCGTGGATAAAGGCGCTGACTTTTTTATTATTCTTTCCAAGTAATCCACAATTTATTGCTTCTTCAATAACTGCTCGATGAATGAATAAATACTAAAAATAAATTTTATTTTTTGAATTTTTCAAAAAGGAAATCACTTGCAGATCAGTTTGTACAGAAAACGCCCGCTGATCACGAAGCCATAAAAAAATTGTGGCAATCTTTACTTCTCGATTTAATTTAATTAATGTTTGAATTGCCAATTGAACTCCTGCAAAAGTTCCACTACGCCCTTTAAAATTTTATTTTAAACTGGTTAAACACAAACACAAAAAAACTGACCTACGCCAGCACTGCAATGGCAAAAAACTGTACAATTACGGCTCTCAGCAATATCTCTAACATAATTATTGAATTGACAGAATGAAGAAGGAGAATAGGGAACGTCATTTTCAGGCCAACCAAGGTAGAGAAGGTGAATAACCTTAAAATTAAAAAAGGCTAGATTATACAATATTTTCTCATATTTAGGGTTAACTCATCTTTCCCCTAATGAAAATCTAAGGAACCTCTTTAAACTATTGCCCCACCGGTTTGCATAATACAAACCCTAAAAATTTCTATTACTCACTTCAATGAACTTTTTGTCTTTATATCCAGCTTCGATTACGGTTTTTCGGACATCTTTATTGGAGGGTAAATAAACGGTCTGTTCCTTGATTTTAATTGTTATATTTTGTCCGTACTTCGTTGTTCCACTATTTAGATAATTTCCGCATTTGATTTCGCCCCCTTCATTATCTTTACAGAGTTGAACGACGACCTGAATTTAAAGATTTTCCTATTAGGCAGACTTAAAATCAGTAAACTTACGCCGCAATTTTGCTCAATAATCAACGCCCAGAATTGATAAGTTGATTTATTTATCGGTCCCTGCCCACAAATAAGAGGGTAACATCCACCAGTAATGAAATTAGCATGGTAAAAGTCAATTCCTAAAATATTAAGGGTTTTTTGTTTAAACATAAGGTTGATCACCATTAAATCCCTTTTTGACTTTAACTCTATTCTTGTCGATCAATGGAACGTCCACATAATGCTGAAGGTCGTAATGTTTGGCTTGTTTATATTCTTTTGTAGTAGCAGTTCTACATTCATAATTTTCCAATTCACGTACAAACTGTTCCCTGATAGTTGGTATTCCTCCTTGATTTCCAATAGCTTAAAATAAAAACTTTAAAGTAACCGTAATTTAAGAATTAAAGAGGATGTGACCATTCCCGCATTGTTTTAAAGGGACAAAATTTCTCGCGGAAAAACTTAGAGATTTATTTTAGGCTGGTCACTTCAACTTTACTAAGCCTAACTTACATTCGAACCATCCTTTGACTGCTTTATTTGGAGGTTCATTTTTTTGTTCTTCGTATTGGATAAGTTGCATTGGCACATAATATTTCCTTTCCAAGGCATTCTGATCCGGCACAATTTTTTTATGAAGATCATCACCCGCATTCTAAAAATTAAAAAAAAGACTTTTATTTCACTTTTCAAACTGGCCTTTTTCTTCCCGCATTCCTTTTCCTCTTGTTGCTTATGGTCTTTCATCGTCCGAGTCACAAATTGCCAAGAAAGTACACGAGAACCAACAAATTTGCCAGAAACACTTGAAGCGAAACCAGGTTTTAAACGAACAGAAGTGTTGAGAAACGAAGAATACGCCAAAAATTGCCAAATACTTGCAAAACAAACACGCAATGCAGCTCAATTTACAAATAAAAGTGTTGAAGTTTGCTATCAGGAATGTTTATTAGCTAAAAAATTATTGTTTTTATACTAAGTTTTAGTCTGCTCTTACGAAAATTAAATATGTATTTTTAACAATTTTTCCTGATACATAATAGCAACACAAAAAACAAAATTATCTCTCTGCTCAATTAATAGTCAAAAAAAAAATTTAAAAAATATCATAAATTTGAGGTGCATCTTTAGGAGTGGAGCTTTCCAAGACCGAAGATTTTCACTCATTTTTAGGAGTGTATATTTCAAAAGCTCAATAAAGTCGAGACCAAGACGTCACCCCAAGACCAAGGAAAAGAACCTCCAACATAAGACTCAAGATCAAGAGTCATGGACGGTTCTAATTATGGGTATTAAAATCGGGGTGGGGGACGACTATCTGATTATCGCTGATTCGGTATTGAGGTCATATTTTGGGCCACAACTTTTCTGATCAATCAAAGCTCTAAAGGTGCGGATTATTTAATTAGCAGGATTGATTTGATCATCCAACAAAAGGTCACAGCCTGCTAACAATCGTGATTTTCGACTTTATTTGGCACTAATTATCTGTAGAATTTTCGATCAGTTCAATATTAAAAAGATGCCGCATCTCGAGACCTTTCGAATGATATGAGAACTACTCGAATCGAAGGCAAAAATAAGAAAGTTATGGCCCAAAATATGGCTTCGATACTGAATCGTCCTTGATAGGTAGTATTGAGATCAGACACTTTGGAAGGATCTAACTTTGATTTGTGAGAGTAAATCAATCTAGTTTTAATTTTTTAATTTTTATTTTAATTACCTGCCCGTAGTATCAAAATACACCAATCATTTAAAGAAATAAATTTTGAAAATTTTGTTGTAAATATTAAATACCTAAATAAAAATAATTTTTAAAATTCAATTTTAATTTTAAATATTCTTCCAATTTTATTAATAAAAGATAGGTATGTATTATTTTTGGTTGAAAATTTTGTTATTTTTCTTTTAATGAAAATAATTTTTTTCAATAAAAATATTCTCCGCCTCCTTTTTGTCTTGCTATTTTCTTTGAATAATAATTTATGTATATCTTATTTTTTTATTAGGCAATTTGTTTACTTAAGAAAAGCATTTTTTATGGGTAAGATAAATGATTGCCATGTAGAAGAAAATAATAACATCGATTCAAACAAGAGGGCGACGGCATATAAAAAATGGCATACATATCTCTCATATAATAACACGATTTTGCTTGAGATATCATCTCAGTCCGGTCTCTAGTTACGGGGGCAAATCTTAGTCTCTCTTATTTAGACGAGACTGGGAGGGTCATAAATAGTAATCTCACGAGATATCTCGAGAAAAATCGAACTGAGTAGAAAATATATTTTTTGATTAAATTCCAAAATTTTAATTAAACAGGCCATAAATAAATTTTAAAGCAAATTTTTTTATCAAAAATGCATTTAAGCAAAAGGCACGGGATTATATTGAGTATTAAGCACAGCAAGAATTAAACACATTTAATTAACAAAAAATCAAATTTTCAAAAAAACTCGAAAATCAAAAAAACAAAAAAAAAACTCTAATTAAACAAAAATTTCAAAAAAATTCTCTAAAATTATTTTAAATTTCTTTAACCTTCTTTTTCTGAATGGCGCACACTTCGAGTTAATTCATTATGAAGACCCTTTAAAACTGGTTAAAAATCATTTATATATTTATTAATATCCCCTTAATAAAATTTCTAGAAATTTCAAAAACTCCCCAGTTAACCCAACTACTAAAACTATATTTTATGAATATAAGATAATAAATTATTTATCAATTTACCTCCTTCCATTCAGCAAAGTAAATTCTACTAAAATTATTGGAATTGAATTCTTCATCATCTTCATCCTCATCAGATTTCTTCCGGTTATGGCGGACATAGAAGTAGCCAATTATAGAGCCAACACAAATACCCCTGAAGGAAAGAAAAAATAATTCTTTTATAAAAATCTTAAAATTTCAACTTACAAGAGAACCAATATTCCAACAATAATTATTGGGGAAATTATCTCCTCTTTGCCTGATTCGTTGTCGTTGGAAGCAGCAATTTGAATAAAGCAAATTGATAGAAGATAACTAACCAAAAGAATATGTCCAACAAACATTTTTAGATATTTTGGGGTTTGAATTGGTGAAGAGACTTTAAAACTACGGGGTTTTAATTAAAAAATACTTGAAATAAATGTATATAAAAATATACAGGCTAATTTAAAACCATGAAAAAAGAATTACAATATTATTTAATTAAACACCTATACAATAATTATATTTATTTAAAAATTTTATTTTCTTAATGTTCCTATTTCTTTATACTTCAGTACCAAGCTCATGCTGGTAAGCATCGAATTCAGCCTCGTTTTCTGTCACCACAGTGCAAAGATCATCGTTTTTGACTGAAGCAGTTTCAGGCTCACAAGATTGGGTGTTTAACACAAAACGAATAATTCCACTCTTTTCACTTGAAAAATAAAAAAATTTTTTCTGAATTAGATTAAAAAATTTTTTCCTCTAAGGCAGTTCAGGCACCTACTGAACGTGGTGACAACAACAATGACTGACAGGAGTTTACTAGTCCAATCTCTCCCGGTGGATAAACGCTTGCCTACAACTCTTAACCCACATTTTTGTTGAAAGTGTAAATTTATCAAAAAAATTTACCAGGTCCATCAAATCCCGCAAATTTTTCCAAACATTCATTTGCTTGTAGAATTCCAATATTCACATAAATGAATTTTTTATTATCCAATTCGATACTAGCGTTGAATGGATTACTTGCTTCGTATGGACTATCAAAACCAGGCACGAAGAAAAGAATTGTTAACATTATTTTTATAGTTGATTGCCTTAAAAATTAAAAAATTATTTTGGCGTTTTTTGGTTATCCTCCCTCGTTTTCTTTCCTCCCTTCCTTTCTCCAAAATAGCATTAATGGACGGACAGAAGTTACTCGAAACCCGGACTTTTTTCAACACGGGACCCTATCAGAACCCCAAAGACTTTCTCTCAAACTCCCATCCCATGTACCTTTGACAATTTGTAATATTCTGTTAGAAAAGTGTGTGAGGAGCGTGCTTTGCCAACAGCGCTTTGTCGTCTGTTTTAGCCTTACACGGAGAAAAGGAAGGAAAAATGAAAATTGGTAGAACAAAAGAAGATCTTTTTCTACTAAAAAACTAAAATTTAAAAGAAACCTTCAACAATTGCAGGCAAAACATAATTACAATAAATCTTTTGACCAAAACATTCACGCGCATCAAAACCTCCATTTTGTAATATTTCCCATTCGCCTGTTTTCACAACATTATAGCTAATTTGTTTAATTGCCTCGTTTAACCCCAATTTTGCAGACTTCCTAACTTTTTCAATAAAATTTAATTCTTCAGAATTGCCAGCCATAAATCGACACAATTTCCAAAGAATTAATTCACAATCTAATTTTGTGGCGGCAATTGAAAGACAATTCGGTTATTGAGCACTGTTCCATCATCAGACAAAACTTTTTTAAAAAAGAATAAATTAAAGGATTTAAAAATGAGGAGTGTCTTATACCTAGGGTTGCCAAATGGACCGACTCGGACCGAAAGATCGAGTCAGGCCTCGATGTTTGGCCCGAAAAAGACTCGTAACGCCCCGACTCGATAAAGTTAGGCCCGAAAGTGACTCGTACCGGCCCGACTCGATAAAAACAGGCCCGAAAAAAATGCCTCGACCCGGCTCGATCTCTACAAACTAGCACATCAAGAGAAACGACAGAATACCAACAAACGACTTTTAGATGGTTGTTATTTCGGCGTTTTGGCATTACTGCGGATAAAGAATGAGGTGACGAATTTGTTGACTTGCGGATTTTTCTTCTCCAAAAAAGGTTTCAAGTCCTCTAAAAAGCCCTAAAAAGGCTAAAAAAAGTCTGCAAGAAAAATCCTCAAAAACAACAACACCTTATCCTCCAATTTGCAGAAAATTATTTAAAAAAAGAAATACCCAATTTTGGCGTATACAATGCTAACAAAGCACGATGAACCCAAGCAAAAGGTTCAGGATCATATTTAGAGCAAAAACTTCCAATTCTCCATCTTTGAACAAAGGCATTTCGCGATAACACTTTAAAAAAATTTCTAGAAATTAAACTTTTTTAAACCCTTACTTCATTTATGTAACGCATTTCCAATTTAATAGCAAATATTTTTTGATCAATTCTCAATTCCAAAGGAGGGTCGAAATTATTTGTTGACAATTCAAACACTTCCCCCATCACCAAACGAAAAGGGCCACCATATTCCGCAACATATAAACGCGCTTGAATTAGAGCCTTCCAAGAAGATGTCGGTAAACGATTGAATGGCTTGACTTCCAAAACGAGACGTTCAATGTTCTTTTTGAAAAAATAAAAAAACATTTTAAGTCAGATTTCATTATAGGACACACACTTGGGGTTTAAAAAGGTGGGGTGTCTTAAATAGAGGGTAGCAATTAGACAGTTTCTCCTTCCTCTCTCAATAACCAACCCAAGACTTATACAGACGTTTATTTAATAGAGGATTAGGCCTTCTTCCTTCCTTAGGCAGCTTTCCCACTCAGTGACCAACCCAAAATTTAGAAAACGTCTATTAAATGGAGGTGCTCTTAGAGGAGACACCCACCTTAAAATTACTGAGTGAATCCTAGACGAGACCCGCCTGTATAACAAAAACAAAATCACCTCATCATTATTAAAATTGCCATCATAACGCTCGCTTCGTTTAACAACCAAATCAACATTTTTGAGCTTAAAGCGCAGATTTTCCTTTCCAGAACTACAACATTCATTAATTCCAGTAACTACTCCCTCTTCCTTTATTTGCAAAATAATTCCAACAGTGCGCACACCATCCACAGAATTCTCGATTCCAGCGCCAATTTTGGCGTCTTTGATCGAATCAATACTAATCAGATGCACACCTGGCCATTTTATAATCAAACTTGGAGGTTTCACAAGTATAATTACTGTTGTTGAGCTCCTAAAAATTAGAAAGGATTAAAAATTGAAAGAGCCTTGGCTTTATTTATTAAATTTTTTTCTAAAAAGATTTTCCTAAAGGAAGAGGATTTACGTAGTTTTAAATTAAAAAACGGAACCGAGCTGAATTCGAAAAAAAAGGAAAAGGCCGAAAACATGTGAGTGGACTTTTTCCCCAAATGAGTAATTTTGGTGGCCTAATTTAAAACAGAATGCCAAAAGATAAAGAAAAATACTCGGGAAGGTTTTTAAAATATTCTTTGAAAATAAAAATAAAACTTGCCCTAAACTGTTCGACAATACAGAAGACATTTGCCAAAAATATAAAAAATGCTTTAAGCAGAATTTAATAGTTGTATAGGGGTAATTAAATTTACATCTCCATCAATAAAGGGATACGGACATATGCACAAGCTCATGAATTAATAGGATACATAAAAATACCATACAACATTTGTAATGGAATAAGGAATATATACAACGGATACAAATTAAGCTTATGGAATTAAATAAATGGAATTAAATACACAAGAGCAAATACGTTGTTCACTTATCACGACGAACTTTCTTCATCAAAACCCTTCGTTCTTCACGTTTTCGCTCTATGAGTTGATCATATTCGTGGATAAAGGCGCTGACTTTTTTATTATTCTTTCCAAGTAATCCACAATTTATTGCCTCTTCAATAACTGCTCGATGAATGAATAAATACTAAAAATAAATTTTATTTTTTGAATTTTTCAAAAAGGAAATCACTTGCAGATCAGTTTGTACAGAAAACGCCCGCTGATCACGAAGCCATAAAAAAATTGTGGCAATCTTTACTTCTCGATTTAATTTAATTAATGTTTGAATAGCCAATTGAACTCCTGCAAAAGTTCCACTACGCCCTTTAAAATTTTATTTTAAACTGGTTAAACACAAACACAAAAAAACTGACCTACGCCAGCACTGCAATGGCAAAAAACTGTACAATTACGGCTCTCAGCAATATCTCTAACATAATTATTAAATTGACAGAATGAAGAAGGAGAATAGGGAACGTCATTTTCAGGCCAACCAAGGTAGAGAAGGTGAATAACCTTAAAATTAAAAAAGGCTAGATTATCAATATTTTCTCATATTTAGGGTTAACTCATCTTTCCCCTAATGAAAATCTAAGCCCACCGGTTTGCATAATACAAACCCTAAAAATTTCTATTACTCACTTCAATGAACTTTTTGTCTTTATATC